CTATTCATCATTCTTGCTGATACATCAAAAATTTCACTTTTCTTTATTTTCTTTTTCTTTTTCTTCTTTTAAAGTGGCCCACCAAAATCTCTTCTCTGCAGGACTACTATTCATTTTTTCGGTAACATAACAAACTAAAATCCCTTATAGTATTATGCTCATTTATTTTGTGTTAGTTTGTTTAATAAATTAATTTGATTACATTAAATTCTTATTTTAATTTTTTTGAATGATTTTATACTTATATACTCAGTAGATGTATGTTATACTTGTTATATAATATCTATATTTACAAAACCTATATGCAAAAACTTGATTAATTAATTCAATCTAGATTGAGTATTAACGCCTTAAATAGTTCAATATCGGTCCAATTTCAAAAATAATAATTTGATTGTGCCAAAAAAATAAATACGATAAAATGGGGCTGTCATCACCCCCAAAATAAAAAAATACAATATTCATACAAGAGATTAAAGTTTCTCCTATTATATTAGAAACAACGTTGTTTTGCACTTTAGAATAAACAATATAAAGTATTTTAATAAAATACATGTTATAATAAAAAAATGAAAATTTTAAAATATCCTTTATTTTTTGAGATTGCAGGAGATAATTTTATTTCTATAATAGGAGAAACAATTTTTTCTTCGTACCAACACGTATATGATATACAAAATAGTTTAATTGATTATTTAATTTCGGTCCCAACATGAAAAAGTCTCGTGTGAACTGTGTGAATGCTTGACGTGGTATTTTATTTGGATATTTGAGATCTATTCAAACTTATGTTTTTAGAATTGGAATACAATATTGAGTTGTTAAAGAAAGATTTAAGGTTTTAAAGTTGAATCAGAATTTCTACATTTAAGTTTAAAAAATGGGGTTTTTTTTTTTTTTGAAGTAATTGTAGACAACTTATTTACATTGAATCCAAAATAATATCGTTTTAGAACAAAAATCAAGGTATTTTATACAGAAAAATATTTCTGCAGTTAATGCAGATAAGTTATCTGCATTTACTTCCAAAACGACGTCATTTTGGGATTGAATTATTAGAAAATTATAATTATAAAGACTATAATAATCCTGAAATAAATTAAAATTATAAAAATACCATTATTTCCGTCATAAAACGACGTCGTATAGGACTTATTGAAGATAACTTATTTGGAGTAACTGCAGAAAAAGCGAACCCATTTTTATAATTATAATTTATTTCAGGGTTATAGTAGTCTTTCTCATTATAATTTTTTAATTTTTCAACCAAATAACGTCGTTTTGGAAATGAATATATTATATTCATTGCAGAAGCATTAAAGCCATAATTCTAAAAATATATATTAATATTAGTAATTATTTTGTGTAATGCATATATTATTTGAAAAAAAAATTATAATTATAAATAATGTATAAATTTAACTCAGACAAAATATAAATGAAAAGAGAAAAACAAATTGATGCATAATTAATTTAAAAATTTAAATTTAAAATTTCAAAGAAGAAAAATTAAGAATGAGAGTGCATCAAAATATTAAGTCAATTTTAATATAGAGTATTGTAATTTAAAAATAATAACACAGTTATTGATATTTAGAATATATATATATATATATATATGGGATATGATCCTTTGACACCGGTGTCAAATTTTGAAATTTGACACCAAATTCCAATCGTTGATTTCCGTCAATCAACGATTATCATTTATTGAGAATTACACTTATTAATTAATTATTAATTCCAATAAATGATAACCGTTGATTGGCGAAAATCAACGGTTGGAATTTGGTGTCAAATTTCAAAATTTGACATCGGTGTCAAAATATATGCCCCTATATATATATATATATATATATATATATATATATATATATATGAGGTAGGATTCTTTGACACCGGTGTCAAATTTGAAGTTTGACACATCATCTGAGAGTCGTTTGTTAAAAAAAGATCAATGGTGTTACATGCTTACAAATCAGACTCGTTGATCTTTTTTGATCTAACGGCTCATAGATGAGGTGTCAAATTTAAAGTTTGACACCTCATCTGAGAGCCGTGAGATCAAAAAAGATCAACGACTCTGATTTGTAAGCATGTGACACCGTTGATCTTTTTTGATCTGACGGTTCTCATATAAGGTGTCAAACTTCAAATTTAACACCGGTGTCAAATGATCCTATCTCATATATATATATATATATATATATATATATATATATAGGTAGAATCATTTGACACCGGTGTCAAATTTAAAATTTTACACCTCATCTATGAGCCGTTAAATCAAAAAAGATCAACGAGTCTGATTTGTAAGCATGTGATACCATTGATTTGTTTTGATCTAACGGCTCTCAGATGAGGTGTCAAATTTAAAATTTGACACCAGTATCAAAGGATCCTACCTCATATATATATATATATATATATATATATATATATATATATATATATATATATATATACACCGGTGTAAGAATAATGAATCTTACACCAAATCTTAACCATTGATTTTCTACATCTAACGGTTAAGATTTATTAGGTCTCACTCATTAATTAATTTTTAATTTCCAATAAATCTCAACCGTTCGATGCACAGAAATCAACGGTTATGATTTGGTGTAAGATTTATTATTCTTACACCGGTGTAAGTTGATCCTATCCCTATATATATATATATATATAGGGATATATTTTTCTTATGTTGTAGGAAAAGAATTACCTCATATATATATATATATATATATGGGACCCACATGTATAGGAGAGAGAAAAAAAAAAGTGGTGGGACCCAACCCTTTTTGTGTGTGTAGGAGAGATGTTTATCTCATGTAAAATGAGATAAACATAACCCATATATATATATATATGAGGCAGGATCCTTTGACACCGGTGTCAAAGGAAAAGTTTGACACCTCATCTGAGAGTCGTTAGATTAAAAAAAAATCAATGGTGTCACATGCTTAGAAATTAGAATCGTTGATATTTTTTAATCTAACGGCTCTCAGATGAGGTGTCAAACTTTTTTTTTGACACCGGTGTCAAAGGATCCTACCTTATATATATATATATATATATATATATATATATATATATATATATATATATATATATATAGAGGTAAAACACCAGTTAAATTTCAAATTTGACACCTAATAGCCATTAGATCAAAAAAGATCAATGGTGTCAGATGCTTACAAATTAGAGTCGTTGATCTTTTTTGATCTAATGACTATCAGATGAGGTGTCAAATTTAAAATTTGACACTGGTGTCAAATTTAAAATTTGACACTGGTGTCAAATGATCCTACCTCATATATATATATATATGGAAAAATGTGTATCATTTTAAAAGATGTAAAATTGTGTCATTTTAAGTGAGAGAAATAGATAGATAAAGAGGAGAGAGAGTGGACAAAAAAAATAAAGGTGTGGGTCCCATCTTTTTGTGAGAGTGAAATGACATAAGTTGTGTCATTTAAAAGGACAAACATTTTTTTCAATATATATAAGCCTTCAACCAGTAACAAATAAATTTAAAAATTATTATTTTAAAATATAAACAGTTGAAATTCGAAAAGAAAAACAAATTTCACCGTAAAAAAAAAAATTTGAAGTAATTAATAATTGTAGAATTTTTATTATTCTAGTCAAATGAGAAAAGTACTATAAGTCTGTCCTTCTACGTTGAAAGATATATCCACCTTTTAATTTAGTCTAAATTTTATTATAATATTAAACTGTTAAATAATTTAGAAGGAAATATAATTAACTTATTGCTTTTATCCTTTTTTTAATTGGGGCTAGTTTGGATGAGTTAGTAAAAAAATAATTTTTTTTGGCTTTTAACTTTTACTTTTTTTTTAAGCTAGAATTTTTAGCTTAAAAAAATATATTTTTTTTGTGATTTTTACTTTTTTTTAAAAAATAAAAATCCAAACGAATTTTGTAGTAAAAGTACTTTAAAAAAAAAAAAAGCTTTTGGCTAAAGAAAGCCATCCAAACGGCCCTGGATGCAGATTTGTTTTTCTTGCTTTTATCATTTTTCTAATTAGTGCAGTTTTGGTTGTCATAATTTTACTCATAAAGTGAAAATGGTTATTTTAATTACTGATCGATGATCAACCAATGAATAATTGAAATTTAACTAAGATTTAATTACTAGGCCAGGAATTCGCCTAGCCTCTGTGCTTAGGTTTTCTTTATAGCTTTCTCTTTGTTTTCTGTTTTCTTGTGTATTAAAAAAATTAACATAATTATATTAAAAGAAGACATGACAAGATATATTCCCAATTTTAATGGAATTGGATCTTTTTATGTCTATTTTTGAGTTTCCTCAAGATATCACACAGCTAAAAGACTAATCTTTTGGAGGCATAGGAATCACTGAAATGGTTTTACTTCTACCAACAATTTTTTTTTTCATACACAACCAAAAATTAAATCTTTATCAGCATGCTTAAGGGACTCAATCAATTGCTAACAGTGTCAGGCTTTGTTGGTCTTTTATGTCTATTTTTAACATGACTATATCATTTGCTAAATCTCAACCATCCATTTGTAGTCATAATTTTATTGAAAAAACTCATAAAAATAAAAAGTTAACTTAATTATATATTTAAATATGCAATACATGATATAATTATGTTAAAAAAGAACAGAGAACTCATTCATTATTTTAGCCTGGTTTGATCAAAGTCAACTTTCTTGAATTCATTATGAGGTTGAAAATTTATTGCATCCATATATATCCCAAATGCAAAAAAAGTACAGAGAGAGAGAGAAAAAAACATTTCATAGCTTAATTTGGCAATTTGAAAACGGTATGACAATTCGGGGCAGAGTTTACACATCACATACATTACTATATGACCCCAATTACAAAGTATCCTATTCTCCAACATCATAACATCCTTTTCTCATTATTACTACAAAAAAAAAACATTTTTTTTTGGTCATCGAGTATGTATGATGACATCAAGCTTACACAAATCCCACAATTCTTAGAGAAAACCTATGGATAGAGACAATACTCATAGGGAATAAAGATGATTTGGAAGTCTAGGCTCAACAACTACTTCCAGAGGTAGTTTCTTAGGTGTAGACAGGCCAAATATCTCCTCCATATTCAAGTCCTCATTCCTCATATTATCAGGTAGTCTCCAGTTAAAGCCATGCAACAGGTTGGCCAAACTTGATTGAATAACCTTAAGGCCAAGAGGGTAACCAGGGCACATCCTTCTACCAGCACCAAATGGCAACAACTCATAGTCATGTCCTTTCACATCTATCTCCTTTCCTATAAACCTCTCTGGTTGAAATTCATTTGGATTCTCCCAAATTTCAGGATCTCTTCCTATAGTCCAAATATTGACAAGCACTTGAGTCCCTTTGGGGATATCATATCCATCAACATTGCAGTCCTCACGGGCTAGTCTTGGCACTAACATTGGTGCCACAGGGTGCAGCCTCATTGCTTCCTTAGCAATTGCATTAATATAGGGTAAATCGATAATGTCCTTCTCTTCAACCCATTTATCTCTTCCTATCACTTTGTCTAGTTCCTCTGTAGCCCTCTTGAATATCTCTGGCTTTCTCAAGAGCTCAGAGATTGCCCATTCTACCGTTACAGCAGAGCTCTCTGTCCCACCCGCTATTAAGTCCTGAGGAAAAATATCAGAGTCAAGTTTATCAGAAAAATAATCAGCAACTATATTCAGTCAAGGTTATCAGAAAAATAATCGGCAACTATATTCAAAGTTAATAATTTATAACATTTTTTCATAAAAATCATAGCAAATATCATTGCTCTTTTATCAAAACAATCAAAATTACATGACCACAGGAAGGGGAAATATTAACAAGCTACCAACAAACAAATAGTCTCTGTTATTTTATATTTTTTTAAAATATTTCAATCCATTCACAGTGATTAGTTCGATTCAGATCCAGGATTAAGACTTGAAATTCCTCACAAAAATAATACTGGAGGAAAAGATCAAACACATATTCTTATTCCCTGTTCAGCTCCCGTACGCCAACATAAAACAGAAAACTTGAAACCGTTTCCAAGAAAATTCGCACGTCTCATCATGTTTCTTTTGATGAACTGTACATCAACAATCATTAACAAAATAATTCCACAGCAGACAAAGTAATCACAGCCACTCATGTTTAAGGACGAGAATATTCCCTATTAGCCAATCAAATTAAAGAACATTAAAAAATTGTACCTGAGAAAAAGCTTTGACTCCATGCCTCTCAAGCTTCACCTCAAGATTAGGATCCTCAGCAAGTTGCAAAAGCACATCCACCATGTCTTTGGCAACATAATTCTTAATCCCTTTCATTCTCTCAATGTGTTCGTCCAACACATGCTCCATAAACCTATCAAACTTCTTGCTCAAAGCCTTCATCCTCTTTATGTAACCCTGCAAGTCCAAAAAGTTAATCCAAGGGATGAAGTCCCCAATGTTAAGAACCCCATTCAGCAAGAACAACTCGTCCAGCATCTTCTTGAACTCCTCAGGGGAAATGATAGTATTCTCTGCTTTCTCCGTATACTTCTTCCCCAACGCCATGCGGCTTATAACGTTAAGGCTCAGATCAGTTAGATAGTCTTTCAACACTAATGTTTTGTTTGCAGAGTTGTAGAGTTCATTAAGAAGACCACGTAGCTCTTGCTTTCTGATATACTCATAAGACTCGAGCCTTTTTGCGCTGAACAATTCCATTAGGCACATCCTACGAGCTTGTCGCCAGTATGGTCCATATTGAGACCAAGTTATGTCTGAATAGTTGTATGTTGTGTACTTTCCTGCGGCGAATTTGGGCCTTCCGGCGAGGGTGGCGTCGTGTGTTTTAAGGAAGGATTTTGCCATGTCCACGGAGGAGCCCACGACAACAGGGTTGGAGCCGAACCACACATGCATGATTGGTCCATACTTGTGGCTGAGAGCATTGAGGGAACGGTGTGGGAGGGGCCCAATGAGGTTCAGGTTTCCTATGATGGGCCATGGTTTTGGGCCTGGTGGCAGGTTATATCTCCGGCGGCGGAGACGGCGGCTGAAGAGGAAGAGGATGGCAAAAGTTGCAAACCATGTGGCTGCAGTTGAAACCCAACTAGGAGCTACCAATTCTATTGCCATGGTTTTTCGACTTGAATGGTTGTGTTTGTGATGAAAGTTTATGTGAGTAGGAGGGGCTATTTATATGCAAAACATGTCACGGTAGCAAAAGCTAATTGGCCTAGTAACTGTTCATATTGCATGAGTTCGGGACTTCGCTCCTTTTTTCTGAATTTCTCTTCATGTGCTGCACATTTATGCTAGACCAAGTACAGTAAGTCAAGATATAATTAGAATTAAACAAAAAATTATTTTAATTAAACTTAAAAAAAGTTAACAATTATATTAATAAAGGAAAAATGTTTCTGCAGTTAATGCAGATAAATTATCTGCATTTATTCCCAAAACGACGACGTTTTGATTTTGAAATCTTAAAAAATTATGAATATAAAAACTATTATAACCACTGAAATAAATTAAAATTATAAAAATACCATGATTTCTGCCCAAAACGACGTCGTATTGACTTACTGCAGATAATTTATCTGCAGTAACTACAGAAAAAACGAACCCATTAATAAATTATGTCATTATGACAAGCTCAAACTAAACCCATTTGTTGCGTTCTTAAAAAAATCAACATCATCAACATCAACAACACCTTTATCCCAAATTAATTGTGGTCAGTGGTAGATGAACCCACATGAAAGATACAAAACGGTTGAAAAAAAAAGTAAAAAATAAATAAATAAATAAATAAATAAAAATACACAAATAAAATAATAAAATAAAATAAAATGAAATAAAAATATATGTATATATAAATAAATAAAAGTAAAAAAGAAAGGAACAAGAAGAAGTGGGGGAAATGAAGGGGAAAATGACTAAAAAAGGACCATCTGGAACATAGGAATAACAGCGGGTCTAACCCTCCACCATACTTAAAAAAATAAAAAATAAAAATGGAATGACAGGTGGGCCACTAGAATAATGTCATGCATCTTCCTTTGATAACTAGATCTAGAAGTATTTCGGTTAAAATATATGCTTACTCAACCTCAGCACCATGACCCTTTACATTAAATTATAAATGAAATCAAGGAGGCAATTGGCCCGCGCAAATTGTGTAGAAATAAATCAGATACCGGTTCTTGATCTCCATTTCTGCTACCGCCTACCGGTTCACATGAAGCTTTGTTTTGTACAAATACATCTGGCCCAGTGTTGAGAATCTCTTCTGAGCCTTCCGTAAATAAACATAATAATGAAAATAGTGCAACAATAATTGAGGATCATGACAGTACGATATATACGAATGAATGAGTTATAATTTATAAAGAGACAAAATTCCATAAACCTCCAAATGTAAGAACGGAATGAGTTTAATTTTAATGTAATGTTAAAATAAATAAATATTTGTACATCTTATGCTAATATTGTATTTAATAATTTTTTCTGTTAACAATTACATGTATTGAATATGGTATTAATGCAAAATTAAATTATAATATATTATTTTTTTTATATTAATAATGAATTATAATTAAATTCAGTTTTTCTCCATTTGTTAAAGCATCAAAGGTGTCTATCGTGTGTGAGCAGTTTGTTTACCAAAAAAAAAAAGGGTGTGAACTGTGAATAACAACAATTAATTTTGTAGTGTGGGAAATGATGTTGATGGATCTACGAGTAGAAAATGAGAAGGAATGGGTCTAACTTTCAGAAGAAGGACAACATATCTCAACTCAAAATCTTAAGACATTACGTTCATAGGTCCTTCTACTTATATCCACTTCACTTAACTCAATTCCAACCAATCTTAAATATCCCAACACGATGTAATAGGAGTGGGTCTAATCCGCATGTGCCCGTGTAATTTTAGGGGATTCTTCTTTTTTATTTTCTTCTTTGTATCCAAAAATAAAAAATAAAAAAATGACAAGGAATGGTGACAGTGTAGAACGACGGAGTTCTTTTCATGGAAAGGTAATATCTGCATGAAGTATTTTGTGCACACAATAAAGATTATATAACAAAAAAAAATATGTATAGCTATTTTAGGTGATTTTTTTTTTAAAAATAATAAAAAATATATTATCAAGAAGATTTACATAATTAATTTTGAAAAAAAAAATAAACTTAAAAGAAGATAAATTAAAACTAATATCAGTCATTTTTAAAAAAATAATAATATTTCTTTTATTAGTTTATGAGTTTTTCCAACCGATAATTATTGTTTTTGTTTTATCCTTTTTAAAATTGAACTTGGCTGGTTTTTTTTTTTTTTTTTTGGGGGGGGGGGGGTGGGGTAAAATCTTAATTAAGAACTCTTTACTATATTTTAAAGGGTTTAACTTTTCTCTCCAACACAAAAAGATGTTGTTTTGAGATTTGAGAAAAAAATTCACAATATTTTAATAAAATTAATGAGATAAGAACAAAATAAAAATTTAAAAAATACCTTCCATTTTTTTTAACCCAAAAAGTAATGTCGTTTTAAAGTTGTATGAGGTAATTTTATATCTTGTTATAATATAAACACTTTTTCTCCTATATTAAAAGTGGTTTACGGAGTCTATAAAAAAAAAAAAGTGGTTTACGGAAATAAATAAAAAATCGTTTGAAGTAATGTCATCGTATATTTTTATTTATCTTGTTAAATTCAAACGATTGTCAATTTAATTTCACGTAATTATAAAGAAGGAAATTATGAAAGTAAGATTTATTACTAGATAATATACAACTGGGATGGTTTCGTGGGGTTTGCAAGCAGTTTCTTGGAAAAGCGACGAAAGAGGGTTGTTAAGTCAAGTATGACCAATGAAATGTTTTCTTCTTTTAAAAAAGACTTGGACTTCACTGACTCACAAGGATACTTTCTGTCCTCGTTTCTGTGCACTTGGAATTTCAGTTTCCGAGTAATTTCCATCCATGATTGAGTTGGGACACCATTTTCCTACTTTTTTCTGGCTCAATGTTCACCGTCCACCGTCGGTGAACCTGGTTGGACGGTGTTGGTGGCACTAAACAGTTATAAATCAAACAGTGCCATAATTTATAGTTTTTTTTATAATTATTTTTTTTCAAATTTTCTTTATAAAAGAAAATGTTCAAACTTAGATAAAAATATAAGAGACTTTTATTAAAGACTTTTGTAGCTCACCAATACCTAATTAAATTAATTTTTTTTTCTCATATCTAAAAAGTGAATCTTATCAATCATTAATTAAAAAAATCATAATAAAGGATGACCAGTATCTTAATTTCGCCCTTTAAAACTAATTTTGCAAGCAGGTTCTTGGGAAAGCGATAAAAGTGTGGATGCTCAAATAATTTATTTTTCCTTTTAAAAGCAAAATGGAGTTTACTGCAAAGACTGATCACTACCTCAATTCTTTATTAGTTCCCATTTCTGTGAAATTTCATGGTTGATTGACTTGGAACGACCTGGCTAAATGTCCACACATAGTGTGTGTCGGGTAAGAGATATATATATATATATATAGAGGTAGGATCTTTTGACACCGGTGTCAAATTTTAATTTGACACCTCATATAAGAACCGTTAGAACAAAAAATATCAACAATTCTGATTTGCAAGCATGTGACACCATTGATCTTTTTTTATCTAATAGCTCTGAGATGAGGTGTCAAAATTGAAATTTGACACCGGTGTCAAAGGATCCTACCTCATATATATATATATATATATATATATATATATTAGGGTATTCGCGATCTGAATTGCATCAATGTTAAAGTGAAAATTATCTGATCTAATCTCTTTGATTTGATCATTTGATCATTCATTTGTTTTGAATTTTTTTCAAATTCGATCAAATCCAATCCCATTGTATTCGGTTTGGATTATATCGATTTTTGATTCTTCAAAAAGAATAAAATTTTAGGCATACAAATAATTAGCTATATCAAAACGAAGCCATACAAAATTATAAATTTTTGAAGAATTTAAGTCTTCAAACTAAAACAAGTCTTAAAACTCATGGAGTTAAAATAGAGTAATAGACAATAAAAAAAAATTAAAACAAGATAGTTTACTATCAATGACATCACAAAACAATAAGATTCCAACTCACCATATTTTCTCTTCCATACTTCACTCTTTCAACTTGCTTAATGCTCACTTTGTGGTTTTCAAAACGATCAGCAAGACAACAACTCTCATGAAAATAAGAGATTAAGAGAGGGTTCAAGTAACATCAAATTTAAAATAAATACATGAACAATTGAAATTAAAAATAGCAACTTACATCATTAACTTTTAATCAAAATCCACACCAGAATCATAATGAACTTATGTATTTAGAGAAATATCTAAAATAATGATAATAAAATATTATTAGTATCTTAATAATTAGAAAATTAAAATGATGATATGAAATTAAAAAATTATACAAGTACAATAAAATAAATTATATATCTTCATCTTTATAATTTCTTCTATAAGACCTTCTACATCATTGGAAGAAGGAGTGGACCGGAACCAATTTTGTGCACAAATTAATGCCTCAACTATCTTTGAAGTAAGAGAACTCCTGTACTGAATGCAGATTCTGAAGCAACTATAGATATTGGCATAATCAATACATCTTTAGCTGTTACAAAAAGAGTAGAATATTTGCTAGACCAATACATTGATGTGTTTGGATTGAATCGATTTTCACCAATCACACCGAAAATCGATCCCATCCAATTAGAATATGTATTTTTTTTCTGTTTTCAAATTTTCAGTTCGGTCATCGTAGTTGAATCAATTTGGATAGGTGAATAAACACCCCTAATTATATATATATATATATATATGGGAAATATATTTCTACTGTTGCATGGGATAATTGTCTCATGCAATACAAAAAAAATAGGTGGGACCCATTAAGGAGAAGAGGGGAAAACAAAAAAGTGGATCTCACTCATTTTTTGTGTGTGCATGAAATAAAATTATCTTTTGTAACATGATATACATATTTTTCTTTCTCTATATAGAGGGATTTATTTTAAAACTTCAGATTAAATAATTTACAAATATTTTTTAAAATCAAATGCAGTTAATGTGAAAATTTA